TATTTTAAACTGATCTAAAACACAACAAAAGTACTTTGGACACAACATGACTTTCCGGAAAAAAAGAAATATCTCGTACTCAATGGTTTTGTTTCAATCCAGTTATGCAGGAAATGGAAATATGACTAATATTATTTTAAATTTTAAAATAATATATTTTCACACAAGAAATGCATAATTCATCCAACTTGAGCGTGGGCTTTTAAGTAAAACAAAAATCTATATAATCATCTAGAGTGGGAGTATCTAATTAGTTGCATTATGTAAAATGTAATAGCACATCGTATTCGGATAAACAGTTAAAAACCCACTACCCAAATCGAAACATAACTATCCATAATTCTCAACTATAAAAACCACGATTTCAAAACCGCGTAGCTAAAATGGCTATAAGAACAAACCACTTTCAAAAAATGGAAAAAATATTTAAAAAAAGAACTCTTCCGTTGTTATTTTATAGATTCGAATGCCACCAAACTTGAAATGAAAAAAAAAATGGTCGGACACTTTGATTTCCTTTTAAGGCTGTGCTTTAATACGCGTCACATCCTTAAAGCCAGATTCGCTTCCGGTTTTTCTGCCTCAGTCCACGAACAAGCCCGGACAAAACCGTAGTATTGTGTCACCACTTTCCTGAGCATTATAACACGGGCCTATCCAGCGTGTATTTTAATTTGTGTTTCTATATCTCAAGAATAATTTAAAGGCCGATTCTAGTCGAAAAAAGATGGAGAGAAACTGCCTTTCTTTCGCGGCTATGTTTTCTGTGTTACTGCGCATGCGTGTGTTTACAAATAAACCGTAGAAGCCTAACCCCATCTTTAACCATATCCCTATCACTTTTCCTATCCCTATCCCTATCTCTAAACCTAGCCCAAACCCTAACTCTAGCGCGGCTATTAAGGTCACTGTGCATGCGCAGACCCATTGAGTTTCGTATTTTCTGCCGGAAAATCTTTTTCCGAGCAGTCACTTCGTAATTTAAAAGCAATGCATTTTAGCAATATGGAGGCTCCAAGCAAAAAAACTAAGCATGTTAGTGTTTTTTAACAATCGTGTGTGATTATATTGAAGTTATGTTTTTTAAGAATCATATGTGATTATATTGTCGTCATTGCGTAATAATGAAGATTGAAGAGGCAGGGGGTTTTACTGATTACATTCTTTGTTAATTATCCCAATCAGAACCTGCAGTGTGGCGAGTGGTTGTTGATGCGTTGTTGTTTTTTTTTAAACTTGATGAATGATGTGTTGGGCGGATGCTAAGGGTTTGATAATTGGGATGGCGATCTTAAATAGATCCAACCGGACATGCTGATTGTTTATTTAAGATTGTGGATGGGGGGGTCGATGATAATGAAAATTGAAAATAAAAAATATTTTTTTGTGTATATGATTGTAGCATCAGCTTTAAGTTTGAGTGTAGGTATGATGTGTTGGGTGGGTTGGGGTTTGAGTATATGTTGGGTGGGGGTAGGTAGGATCTGTTCATTGGGGTAGGGGCTCGTAGGGTTTATCGTTGGGTGGGGTGGTGGTGCGTAGGGTTAATTGGATGGGGTGGGGAAGTAGTATTGTTGGTTGGGGTGGGGGTTCGTAGGGTTTAGTTTTGAATGGGGGAGGGGGCTCGTAGGGTTTATTGGATGCGGTGGGGTAAGTACGATTTACTTGTAGGATCATATTTGTATTTCTTATGAGATCACAGCAAAGTATGACGAGTACTCGTTATTTAATAATTGATTTGAAAATAAAGCAGCACTCACATATGTATAAATGAATCTCTTAATTAATCTTAATTACTTAATTTAAACGCGCTAATCAAATTAGTGATACTTAAAACTTAATAAAAAAAACAACTACTTTGAACAGGTTCCTCTAAACCTGAAGAGACAGTGCCAGAGAGAAATAAAAAAAAAACTGAAAGAAACATCTCAAGTGGTTGTCTAAACTCACAGAAAGGGTTGGTAGTCGGGGGGTTGGCCGACGGGTGTTAGCGTGTTCACGAGGACGTGGCTAAAAGATTTCGTTTGCCTTGCATTTCTTCGCCGAGGGCTGAGCTATTTATCGGCAATTAGGGTCCCTAATGAGCGCGCGGCTTGGGGACGCCCCCCCCCCCCACCATCTTCCCCCCCCCCCCCTGGTTCTGGGGAGTATCTGCAGTCTGAGATAATGGCAAGATTTTGGTGCCCGTTTTCTCGGTGTCCGGATTTAGACGGCTGGAACTTTGTTGTTTGGTGTGTTTGGGATAGAGTTTGTGAGTGTGTTTGTGTGTGAGCTTGTGTTTGTGAGTGTGTTTGTGAGTGTGTTTGTGTTTGTGAGTGTGTTTGTGTGTGTGTGTGTGTCACGCGTGTGACGTGTGTCTGCGTGTCTGTGTGGCGTGTAAGTGTAAGTGTAAATGTGTGTGTATGTATGGATGTGTAGGTGCGTATGTACGTGTGTGATTGTGTGTATACGTATGTGTATGTGTGTGTGCGAGTCAATTTATTTTTTGGAGATCTATTGCTTACGTTTCACAACAGACCGATACAAGATGGTTATTGTTGGCAGTTATAACAATGTTTTTACGTTTTTTTTCTTTCCTTTAACGTTCTGTATAAAAAAAAATGAATTGAAATGTGCATTGGTAGTACTTTTCAAATGAGTCTTTGTTGTATAACTAAAGCTACAATTAGTGCCATGAACGAAATATGTGTACCATATACTGTGTGTCTGATATGAAATATGTACAATTTTTTTCATCTATGTAATAAAGGGGTTAGGCTCCGAAATAACGTCTTAATTAATATGCATTATTTATGTATTTGTGTATATCAAAGTTAGGGTAATTAATGGAAAATATTTACATGCAACAGGGACTTTTCGGAAAATATAGTTGCCACCGCAACGGCGGCCATCTTGAAAAAAACAACCTTTTGAAAAAGAAGAAAAAAAACATATATATTGATCATATAATCATTGCTGCTTTTTTTAGTAAACCCTTAAAGAGCGGGTTCGTTTTATTACAGAAAACACAAGAATTTTTTTTCGAATGTTCAAAATATTCTTTATGGTGAAATACCATTATATTTAATTGCTAATTTTAATTTAATTTTACCATAACAATTGTTTGAAAATTCGAAAAAAAAATCCTTCAGAGTCCCTAATGAATGCAAATATTTTATATAATTACATAACTTTTATCCAGCAGTACACGTGTTGTTTTTATTTCCTTTTAAGTGCAACATACTTCATCCCAACCTGTAAGGGTACGGTATTTTGTTTCTCAAAGTTCTAACACTTTTTTTTTATAGCTGGCCAGCACTAAAAGAAAATTGCTGTTTTTGCTTGTTTTAGATTTAGAATAACATGAAAAGCTCTATTAAGTAATCTCTCTAAGGCCTGATAGAATGTTCCTCTCATTATGGCCTAATAATGATCTTCTCCTGATGGCCTAATAGTAATGATTTTGTCCTAATGACCTTTTAATAATGATCTTGTCATGTTGGCCTTCTAATAATTATCTTGTCATGATGGTCATCTAGAAAAGATCATTATTAAAAGGTCATTAGGAAAAGATCATTATTAAAAAGCCATTAGGAAAAGATCATTATTAAAAGCCATTAGGAAAAGATCATTATTAGAAAGATATTTGGAGATCTCTTTTCCTAATGTTACGCTACGTTTGCCTGTCGTCCCTACTGGGACATAGGCCGCTGACAAGAGCTTTCCCCATGTGTATCCAATCTTCTTGGTGTCTTCTTCCAGGTCACGTCTCCAGGACTTTCTTGGTCTGCCTCTAATAATGATCTTTGCCCAATGGCCTTCTAATAATGATCTTTGCCTAATGGCCTTCTAATAATGATCTTTGCCTAATGGCCTTCTAATATTGATCTTTGCCTAATGGCCTTCTAATAATGATCTTTGCCTAATGGCCTTCTAATAATGATCTTTGCCTAATGGCCTTTTAATATATTTTGATATCACAGATATCTTCTCCTAATAATTATTTTCTAGTGATGACCGTCTAATAATGGTCTGTTCAAGATAGTCTTCTCCTGGTTGTCTGTTTATGGTGATCTGCCTTAACGTTGTGACCTTCATTCCTTCATCAAGTTTTAAAGCTCCATATACACCAACTCCATCAAAATTATTTTCATCTTAATATTGTTGTATGATCAGTAAATATTAAACAAGTACAAGACGTTTTAGCGAAAACAAAAGACCTTGTTTCAACTCCACACAAAACAAAAACAAAAAAAATTACTTATTTTCAGCGCCGTGAAAACAGACAGGTGTCGATTATATATGCCTGATTTTTGTTACCTTCGATACAGGTCGGGATCGATACTGTTTGTTTGATTTGTGTTGTTCCCAATACATGACCGTATCGATACTGTTTGCCTATTGTTCGTTGCCTCCTATACATGACGTATCGATGCTGTTTGCCTGATGTTTGTTGCCTCCGATACATGACAGTACCGATACTGTTTTGCCTGACATGTGTTACCTCCGATACCGCACCGTATCGATTCTTTTTCCCTGATTTTTGTTACCTCCTTTACAGGACCATATCGATTCTGTTGATTTGTGTTGCCTCCGATACTGGACCGTATCTAGTCCGTTCTACCTTAGTTTCGCTGCCTCCAATACCGGACCGTATCGATTCTGTTTTACCTTATTTTCGTTGCCTGAGCTACAGGCCCGGCATTTGATTCGATGAATGACCCAGGGACCCGCGACACGGGAAAATTATAACCTCGGGTTCAGCGATCAATTACGTCAAACGGTCGTTGGGGAGCCCCATATTCCCTGGGACGGGACACTTTCAGGGCAGCGTCCCGGCAGGGTGGGGGTGATGGCATGGCTCTCACTGTTAGAGAGTCTTGTCACGATGTTGAAGGGTCGGCTCTCTAGATGGCTCTCTGGATGGCTCTCACTGTTAGAGAGTCTTGTCACGATGTTGTAGGGCCGGCTCTCTAGATGGCTCTGACTATTAGAGAGTCTTGCCACGATGGCTCTCACTGTTAGAGAGTCTTGTCGCGATAGCTCTCACTGTTAGAGAGTCGTGTCAAGATGTTGAAGGGCCGGCTCTCTAGATGGCTCTCTAGATGGCTCTCACTGTTAGAGAGTCTTGTCACGATGTTGAAGGGCCGGCTCTCTAGATGGCTCTCACTGTTAGAGAGTCTTGTCACGATGTTGAAGGGCCGGCTCTCTAGATGGCTCTCACTGTTAGAGAGTCTTGTCACGATGTTGAAGGGCCGGCTCTCTAGATGGCTCTCTGTATGGCTCTCACTGTTAGAGAGTCTTGTCACGATGTTGAAGGGTCGGCTCTCTAGATGGCTCTCACTGTTAGAGAGTCTTGTCACGATGTTGAAGGGCCGGCTCTCTAGATGGCTCTCTGGATGGCTCTCACTGTTAGAGAGTCTTGTCACGATGTTGAAGGGCCGGCTCTCTAGATGGCTCTCACTGTTAGAGAGTCTTGTCATGATGTTGAAGGGCCGGCTCTCTAGATGGCTCTCACTGTTAGAGAGTCTTGTCACGATGTTGAAGGGCCGGCTCTCTAGATGGCTCTCTAGATGGCTCTCACTGTTAGAGAGTCTTGACACGATGTTGAAGGGTCGGCTCTCTAGATGGCTCTCACTGTTAGAGAGTCTTGTCACGATGTTGAAGGGCCGGCTCTCTAGATGGCTCTCACTGTTAGAGAGTCTTGTCACGATGTTGAAGGGTCGGCTCTCTAGATGGCTCTCACTGTTAGAGAGTCTGGTCACGATGTTGAAGGGCCGGCTCTCTAGATGGCTCTCACTGTTAGAGAGTCTTGTCACGATGTTGGAGGGCCGGCTCTCTAGATGGCTCTCTGTATGGCTCTCACTGTTAGAGAGTCTTGTCACGATGTTGAAGGGTCGGCTCTCTAGATGGCTCTCACTGTTAGAGAGTCTTGTCACGATGTTGAAGGGCCGGCTCTCTAGATGGCTCTCTGGATGGCTCTCACTGTTAGAGAGTCTTGTCACGATGTTAAAGGGCCGGCTCTCTAGATGGCTCTCACTGTTAGAGAGTCTTGTCATGATGTTGAAGGGCCGGCTCTCTAGATGGCTCTCACTGTTAGAGAGTCTTGTCACGATGTTGAAGGGCCGGCTCTCTAGATGGCTCTCTAGATGGCTCTCACTGTTAGAGAGTCTTGACACGATGTTGAAGGGTCGGCTCTCTAGATGGCTCTCACTGTTAGAGAGTCTTGTCACGATGTTGAAGGGCCGGCTCTCTAGATGGCTCTCACTGTTAGAGAGTCTTGTCACGATGTTGAAGGGTCGGCTCTCTAGATGGCTCTCACTGTTAGAGAGTCTGGTCACGATGTTGAAGGGCCGGCTCTCTAGATGGCTCTCACTGTTAGAGAGTCTTGTCACGATGTTGGAGGGCCGGCTCTCTAGATGGCTCTCTGTATGGCTCTCACTGTTAGAGAGTCTTGTCACGATGTTGAAGGGTCGGCTCTCTAGATGGCTCTCACTGTTAGAGAGTCTTGTCACGATGTTGAAGGGCCGGCTCTCTAGATGGCTCTCTGGATGGCTCTCACTGTTAGAGAGTCTTGTCACGATGTTAAAGGGCCGGCTCTCTAGATGGCTCTCACTGTTAGAGAGTCTTGTCATGATGTTGAAGGGCCGGCTCTCTAGATGGCTCTCACTGTTAGAGAGTCTTGTCACGATGTTGAAGGGCCGGCTCTCTAGATGGCTCTCTAGATGGCTCTCACTGTTAGAGAGTCTTGACACGATGTTGAAGGGTCGGCTCTCTAGATGGCTCTCACTGTTAGAGAGTCTTGTCACGATGTTGAAGGGCCGGCTCTCTAGATGGCTCTCACTGTTAGAGAGTCTTGTCACGATGTTGAAGGGTCGGCTCTCTAGATGGCTCTCACTGTTAGAGAGTCTGGTCACGATGTTGAAGGGCCGGCTCTCTAGATGGCTCTCACTGTTAGAGAGTCTTGTCACGATGTTGGAGGGCCGGCTCTCTAGATGGCTCTCTGTATGGCTCTAACTGTTAGAGAGTCTTGTCACGATGTTGAAGGGTCGGCTCTCTAGATGGCTCTCACTGTTAGAGAGTCTTGTCACGATGTTGAAGGGCCTGCTCTCTAGATGGCTCTCTGGATGGCTCTCACTGTTAGAGAGTCTTGTCACGATGTTAAAGGGCCGGCTCTCTAGATGGCTCTCACTGTTAGAGAGTCTTGTCATGATGTTGAAGGGCCGGCTCTCTAGATGGCTCTCACTGTTAGAGAGTCTTGTCACGATGTTGAAGGGCCGGCTCTCTAGATGGCTCTCTAGATGGCTCTCACTGTTAGAGAGTCTTGTCACAATGTTGAAGGGCCGGCTCTCTAGATGGCTCTCACTGTTAGAGAGTCTTGTCACGATGTTGAAGGGTCGGCTCTCTAGATGGCTCTCACTGTTAGAGAGTCTTGTCACGATGTTGAAGGGCCGGCTCTCTAGATGGCTCTCACTGTTAGAGAGTCTTGTCACGATGTTGAAGGGCCGGCTCTCTAGATGGCTCTCACTGTTAGAGAGTCTTGTCACGATGTTGGGGGGCCGGCTCTCTCGATGGTGGGAGATGGGGGAAGATGGGGGTCAGATATGATTAAAGATGGGGTCAGATATTTGGAAAATGTGGTCAGATATTTGGAAGATGGGGTCAGCTATATGAAGATTGAGTCCCATATGTTTAAAGATGGTGTAAGATATTTGGAAGATGGGGTCAAATATTTGGAAAATGTGGTCAGATATTTGAAGATGGGGTCTGATATTGGAAAAATGCGGTGAGATATTGGGAAGATGGGGTCAGATATGTTTAAAGTTGGGATTAGCTATTTGGAAGATGGGATCAGATTTTTAAAAATCGAGGTCTCATTTGTTTAAAGATGGGGCCAGATATGTTGTGTGGGAGAGAGTTTGTAAGATAAGGTCAGATATGTTTTTGATGGAGATATGTTTGAAAGACGGGGACACACATGGTGTGTCGTGGGTAGATGTTGTATATTGATAATGTGAAGAGAATGCGGTACAAATATTATGAAATAAATATCCTGAAAGTGCGTAGCCTGTGAATATACGCAACTTAATGAAATCTTGCGATTTTGTTTTGGTGATATTATTGTAAATGTGAAGTAAATATGTGTTTATGTCGAAAATTGTGTTGTATTTTGGAAGTACGACATATGGCTTATGGTATGTATGTGGTAAAAGTCAATCTATGAATGAGGAGTATGTGAAACTTGTAGATAAGATTCTCTTTGTTGATAAAGAGTTAATGGTGAGCTAAGAGTATGTAAAATTTGTAATTTGAGTCCTTTCATTGAAACATAGTTTGACTATAACGTGGTGTGTAGTTTGAGTTTGTGATAATACGAAAGTTTAGTCCCTTCTTTTAGTTAATACAGAGTTATCGTTAATTATAATGTTAAGGTTGTTGGCAGTGTCGTAACTAGGTCGGGTGTCACACGGTGTTGTAACTAAGGGTGTCACCTCACCCGTCCAATAATTTATCTTTTTTTGGTCTGGTGTCACCCCTTTCCCCCTTCTATTTCATTTTCTTACTGGACAAAGTACTTCGTATTTCTAATTAGCGTATATGTTGTTATATACTGTTAAGTGCTTATGGATCTCAGTTGTCAAAATATTAATCGTAAATCACGGGTTAGTGTTAAAATAGTTTCGCGGTCTTAAGTAAAAATCAATACGCGGTTCATTGTCATAATAACTTCAAATCATAAAACACCACAGACTATAAATCTCCATTCTATTTTGACAAGATTATAAATTTTAACAAAGATGTTTATTTTTTTTTTCGTCATGGAAACTAAAAAAAAACAACAACATTAATTAGAACAAAGACAGAGTTCTATCAAAGGCGGAGACGGAAACGGTTCAAGTTTTCCCTATAGCGAGAAATATCGATGGCCTTGTCGGTCGGTATGGTGGATGGAGCCTGGGATGGTCAAATGGATCAATCTCCCGCCTTATAATAGAGCCACCGGAACTGTTGCATCACTTCAAGGCAAATTAGTGCCGGTCCGGGGAGAGAAAAAAAAATGGAGGAATAAAAAACAAAAGGAAATACAATATGGGGGGGGGGCTAAAGGTGTGGGTTGGTAGGGGAGGGGGGTGGGTTGGAAGAGAGAGGGGGTGGATTTAGGAAAAAAAAAGATTAAGATAACAGAACTGATAGAGGGCTTGTCACAATGTGATTTGTTTTTGCTCTTTGTGTGTGTGTGTGTGTGTGTCATATGATGTGTGTTTGTGAATGCGTGCATGTGTGAGTTTGTTTGTGTATGAGTGTGTGTGTCTATGCGTGGTGGGTAGAGATTATCTCTAGTTTGTAGTTATCGTCGGTAGGGCGCATAGTTGGTTTGATTTATTATGGGATACATGGAAGTATAAGTGGGATGTGGGTTAAATAAATAATGGGATGGAAGTAAATATAAGTTGCAATATAGCCATTGCTGGGATATGGGAATATGAATAATGCATGGATAGGGCACATTGTGTATGTGCGAACTAGACTCTAAGAAATCAGTATTAAGTTAAGTGCTAATTGGGCTGATTATATGTTATATGTGTATGTGTGTGTATGTATATGTGTGTGCGTTTGTAGACATTTCTACAATACAAGCACCGCTGCTCATTTTATGTAGTTGCCATAGGAACCGCCTTAATCAAATTCATCTTCCCACAGCGTGAAGAAATAATTACAGCTACGTACAGTAGGTCGATAGATTTTTTTTTTTTTGAAATATAAAAATTCAATAAGCTCGTTAAGACAGAGCTTCCTTGTTTTTAAACCAATTTCCAATCAAGAATTGCACGTGTTGAGAATTGATTAACCCTTCCCTACACTCCCAACT